TTGTAATTTTGCCGGAACATTTATTTGTTGTTCATCTGGGGTTTTATAAGAGCCAAAAAAAAAAAAACAGATTCTTCTGAATGCCATGAAGTACTAAGATCCAGAAGCATAAAAAGCCACTGAATTTTTTTAAATCAAACAAAGGTAATTTTTCAAAGGCACATTGGACTCACTTAGCCGTGTGGATTCTGATTTACCCAATTTTCAAAGCAATTGCCCGATTTCTCAGTCCTATTTTTCAACGGTTGTCTTGCAAGTGACAGCAACACTGGTTTGCGGGAAAGTGACAAAAAAAAGCAGAGTTTTAAGAAGTGACTAAATGATGATGGAAAAGGATGTTACCGGCACGGCATTCGCACGAGTAATATTTATCACGATATGTGTAACACTTGGCACCGTTCTGACATGGCGACGCGGCACACGGATCGTTGCTCAACGAGAATGTCTCGCAGTGCCGACCAGAGAAACCCCGAGGGCATTCACATCGATACGAGCCGAACTGCAATCGTTTACTGATAACAGCCAAGTACGAACTTTGAAATTTTTCCACAGAGTATTGCACGGACGTAAAAAACGTATACTGTGTCTGTAGTGTGTGTATGTGTATGTTGTGTGTGTGTGTGTGTGTGGTGTGTTTGTAGTGTGTATGTGTGTGTGTCTGTGGGTGAGTGTGTGTCTGTGCGCAATTTAAAAATTTTCGTTTTTTTTTTTGCAACTACTTACGATTACTTTTCTCCTTGCGCGAAAATAACTTAAAATTTTCACGCTTTTTAAGAGGACGAGCAAAGGATGTAATTAGCAAGTTAGTCGGCAAATAGGTAAATCAGCTAACCTAAAAACTCAGAAGTATGTGATTTCGAAGTAGGTAATTTAGTAATTCCAAAGTAATTTTTTTCGAAGTAAGCAATAAGTAATTTCGCGTACCCAAGCCGAAAAATTCTGAAATGTGGAAGCGTTTTGAGCTTCTGAAAAAAGCCAGGTACCGAAAAATTGAATTTCTAACACCCACTTACTACTCTTCCGCTGCAACTTATCAATCTGAGGCGAAATTTATCATCTTTTTACCAAATTTATGCTTTCCGATGGAATTTGGCACTTTCCGTGCTCAACTACGTATCTTTCAGATCAGAAAAAGAGTGCCTAGAATTTTTGGCTTTTTTCGCATTCAAATAATTCCCACGCCTTCTTTCCGGAAACGTTAGTACCGAATTTATAAATTTCACCCTCCTGCATAAGTACGATGAGGAAACGTGGGAATAAAATTGTTAAAAAGACTAAGAGTTTTCAAAAAATACACAACCTCATTGACGCATTTGCCTCGATGGCACGGATTCGAATGGCACTCATTGACATCCATGTCGCACCTCTCGCCATGCAAGCCCGGTGGACAAGCACAGTGGTACCCTTTAGACGTGGATGTACATACGCCATTTATGCATGGATTACCCTCGCAATAATTCCTCTCGTCACATCGCTCACCTATAAGTGTCAAGTTGCTTTGAATTTACACTTTAGACGAATTTTTAGACACATAAAAGTCAAAGGATCAGGCCCTTTCTGTTTGAAGAAACTAGATTTGCTGAACATGTGATAGAGAAGTTTTTCTGGTTTCCAGTTGAAAGTGGTTAACAAAAGGTGCGAACACACATACACACGTACACATACACACTCACACGCACACACACACACACACACACACGCACACACACACTCACACACACACGCACACACACACGTAGCTTCTTGCCAATATACGTTTTTGCATTTGCATATATGTAAAAATGCATAAAAACCGTTAAATGTTTTGTCTTTTATATTTATTCGAATAAATATGCCGCAGTCAGACAGGCTGGCGACAAATAGTGCTGATGTTTGGCGTGGAGATGTTAGCTTCGGCTGAATAAGCGCGTTGGAGCACATCCCCTCAGTGGTTGCTGGTACAACCTTATCTGATTACATATAAAATGCTGTTTTTGCGGTTTTTCCCGCCCAGCACTCTTGCTCGCGGCCACTCTTTGATGCCTTAATCGCGCTTCTTGTTTCTAGTAAAAACACAAATTCCCATCGATTACAGTAGTTCATAAAACAGATTACATTGCGCATTGATTCTCATTTGTCATTTTTTTTTTCGATAAAGCGAAACTGCCTAATGACATCCATTAAAATTTGTTCAAAATTGTTTAACGTCAATTCACTTAACTTATGCTTCGAAAAAACTGCCTAGCACGAGCTCACTTTGAGATTTTGAACTATAATCTAAGAATTGGCCGTCGCTTGCTGCTTCATGCTGCTCGGTTCCAAGAGAAAAAAGGCTATGACTCGCAATAACCTAGAGACTTAGAGACTCTGCTGGATTGCTTGGTTAATTTATAGAGTTTAGATAAAACTCAAAAACTCAATCAAGTCCAAGCAGGGGAAGATGGAGTAGAGGATAAAACTTGCTGCTGGAGTTGACCACATCCGTTTGTCATTTCGAATTTCACAGAAGCCAAATCCAAAATGGTAAACGAATGTGGCTCAGCTAATAAGCCGAGGCGAAAACCATCCTTTGCTCATGTCACTCCGTATGCGCATGACGGCATGCGCCTGTAGCTCGGGTAACACTTTTGCAACTTTAAGAGCAGCAAGCAGGATTTGAGGGGGTGCTTACCGGACAAATCGAAGAGACGTTTCAGGCTCTGAGCACAAATACGGAAGTATCGTAGAAGACAGAGAAATGCTTAAAAAAGTGAGGAAAGATACAGAAAAGTAAGGTAATAGCAAGAAAACTTCGCCAAAAGAGACAAAAAAATTCAAACCCATCTAAAGTCAGCAAAAAGAATGAAATCGCCTATCGGAAAGAACCCGAAAAAAAAAAACTCAGATTCATTTTGAATAAACTTTTGAAAGAATGCAAGCACTATAGGCCGTCCATACTCTGGTTTACATCTGTTAACCAGTTTGCACTAAATCTGGGTGGGTTTGTTCACAGAATTTGGAAATTCGACACTTTGAAGTTTATGTCCTAAGCTCCCTCCTGTCCACTTATTTCGGTCACCGTTGTCAATCTTGTTATGGATCTGATGTGATTATGTTCGATTTATGAAAATATTGATTCTGCCACCAAGCTTGTTTGATAGTGTTCGATCATTTTCTCACACAAAGAATGTAACTTGCATTGTCCGGTCTGTGTTTACAGCTAAAAGATGAAACACAGACTGCATCGAAAAATATCACCCCACTATATCTAACGGATAAAGACAGTTTGCACTATAAAATATCACCTTACACATGACGCCTGCGTACAATCCTGTTGGTCTATTATTTCATGTGTCATTCTGCCTCGTAAAAGTTTTCTGCTAAAGCTGTGATGCCTTGCCGCTGACCCGGTCCACATCTTCCGCATAAAAATTTTGAGAAACACTGCGCAATGCCTGCAAGCACTGCGTACTTTTTTGCAAGTATTCAAGGTGTTCCACCTCCTTCTGTGTCCCTTATTCGTCCCCTCGTCCCTTTCACCTTGCCTGCTATCAAAATATGATAATTTTTGCGTCGATCACTATTTCCTGATAAAAATAAAATAAAATTATACAGTTATGTTATAATAAATTCCCCTGGCA